AGACTCATGCCATTAAATCCAGGAATAAAAAAACCCTGATTTTAGGAAGGAATCTTTCATTTCAGAAAAGAGCTTTTTGAAGGAGAAATGTATTTTTTTTTCTTAAAAGAAGACAGATAGCAGACAGGGCAACTAAGGTATTTTGAATTTAGTCATGCTTTAATTTTTTGGAAAATAATGTCTTTGTTAAGAAATACTGATTGTAGAAGGTATCTGTTTAGCTCTTCTCGGTAAGTATGAAATTCTAAAATCACATGTCAAAAGGAAGCATCTGCATTCTACAGAGCATAGAACAAGCCAGTTATTCTTAAAGTTAATGTGACTGAAGTGCCCTTCTGAAGAAGGAATATTAAATCACAAGTTTAGGTGATATACTAATTTGGAACCAAAATGATATGTTGGTGCCAACATCATGAAATTGTATTAAAGATACACATGCAAGATAGCACACAAAGTGGCCCTTAAGCCTACTATGGACCTATGTATTATAAGTATATAATGATTACTTTAGTAATGTAGACACTAATAATGTCAACCTCCTCATTTTGAATCTGCTCCTAAGATTCCTACAGAGTAGATCTTAAAATAAATTGGTCATAGCAAAAACATTTGTCTCGTACATCAGGAGATGTGCAATGTGAAATCATTTACTCCTATCTTAAGTAACAGCCTAATCATCAGATGTGGAGATGCAGATGCTGAGCAACTTGTTGACTAAGGGAAAAGAAACTGTGCTTTCGTGCCAGTAAGCAGATGTGTTCAATAGACTGGCTCCTAAGTGCTGATTTAGAAACAGCTGTTAATGCTACCATCATCTTTAATATAGTTCTTTTCCCTCCACTTCCTTTGTTTTCCATACATACATATGCTCGCTCTATAAAGTTGAGTTGTGCTAGTCAGAGGGTGGAGAAGATGGAGTACTTTTTAATAAATAATAGGCAATCAGAACCTGATTCTGGGAGGTGGTGAGCACTCTCAGCCCCTTCTGGAGATAATTTAGATTGAAAGCATAGAAAGGCTCATAAAACCTATGGCATCAACTTTGTCACAGCAGATCTTTAAACTACTTTAAAAGGATTTTTTTATTTTATTTTATTTTTTATTTTTTTTTGCAAAAGTTGTAAATGGCACAAGCTAGTTCTTCCACTGGAAAAAAAAAATCAAGTTTTTCAGGTTCACTTCAGTAAGGGCATTTTCTCTCTCATTTATTTTTATTCTATTTTTTCCATTATTTTTCAGTCATTTCTTTCTCTCACTCTTGCTCTTTCTCTCTCTTTCATTCTCTCTCCTCTTTTTTTCTCCTCTCCCCTTTTTGTTTCTCAAGGTAGTTCTTTTCCCCTAATGCAAGCTTTGTGAGACACCTGTAGTTTTCATATGATCTGTGAATTTTAAAAGCACAGTTTTCCATGAATCTAGATAAACTAACACCCTGAAGTACTTCACACAAAGTTTGCTTCACTTCCTTCCCATTACTAAAATATAGATGGATCACATATCAGTAACAACTATATCCTCCATAATTGACTCTTCAGCTCCAAAGGAAGTTCAGAATTCCAATATCTGAATTTGATCTCTAGAGGAAATAACAAGTGAAGGACCTGTCTCATATTAGCACATAAGCATTAAAGTCTTCATCTAGAGTCTATTGAACTCTACAGAAAAACTCTCATTGATATTAGTGTATTTTCTATCAGATCAAAAGTGAATTTCAGTGCTTCATAAGAGGACATAAAGAAATATATTTACATATATATTAAAAAAAACCCTAATCTATTCCATTGTCTAAAAGTCTTGCATATCTGCTGTATATTAATGCAGCAAATTACATCAAAATAAATTCATAATATTTTCAGTGATAAACTTCATTATAATTGATTTCTAGCTTTTGAAATTAATTGTCACACCAAACAATTTTCTTGTTTGATAGTCTCTTACGTAAATCAGATGCAAATTATTTGAAGTCATTAATAAAAAACCCAAAACCCTAAAGGGTTATTCTTCTACACTCAAAAGAGTGCCTGCAAAGGTAGCTGGAGTCCTTTCAGCCTGCCTTTCAGTCAGTGCTCTGCTTCCCACCCAGTGCGTTGTGTGCAGATACAGTGCTGCATGCTGGAGTCTTTGAGGATTTGATAAATGTATCTTGTACTTGTTCTTGAAAAGTGAAGTCATCATCCTTTAATTGATTTCTATCAAGTAATATCAAGTGACTTACTTAGAGTCACCCCTGGTGGCAGCATCTCAGGGCATGGTTGAAAGAGCCAGTCTGAGGACCGGTGATCAGAATGAAGAGGTTCTCCCCGGCCTGTACGTGGCTACTCAGTACCTGCAAGCTGGTGCTAATTGCATCTCCTGGGTTTAATGCTCAAGCAGAGAGACTGCTCTCAACTGTGTTTTTGTGAAGCGACCTGAGTTATAAAAAGCAGCAGTGACAAAATATTGCAAGAAAAATGGAAAACAACAACAACAACAACAACAAAGAATAATTTCTTGTATTTGAGTGAAAAAAAAAAATTTAGAAAATGTCAGGGGTAGCAGATGTGACAGTTTAGGTCTGTCTGTGAGAGAAGAGAAATGAGCACCTGCATCAGGAGCAAGGCAGTTATAATCCTGCTCATGTCTGTCCCAGACAGAACCATTTCTGACAATGACTACAGGAATATTAACTTCAGTTTCTCAAGTATACAAAAATGAAATGGATGCACGCAGAAGGTGGTTTGCTGGGATCTCTACTGTTCCAGTAATTGGGTTGAGCCCAGGCTGTGCATTGAAATTTTGGCTTCAAATTCTTCGCCGTTTATCTTGAAACTACTTCTTGTATGCATTATTATTATTTTGTTGTAGGCTTTCAATGCTGTAGCTTATTCTGTGAATGTTCAAGGACATAAAAATATCTGGAGAATTGCTTAGATCATTTAAATATCACTCTAGTCCTGTTTTTTTGTTTGTTTGTTTGTACTGAATAAAATTCTCTTGGGCTTTTCTTCAGAAGAAGAGTGATAATGTTCTGTGATGCTAGATTAAATTAAAAGAGTGTTGGTTTTGATCTTTAGATTATGACTGTAGTTGCATCTACTGCACTGTCTGACACCAGTAGGTTATTGTCTTTTGCAAGAAAAACTTCTTTGTTTTAAAACCAAAAAATAAACAAAATAACATCTTAACTTCCCCCAGAAAGCTGCTAACACTGTAGTAATGCTGTACCCTTTAGAAGATGGACACCTCTGATACCTGACCCAAGTATGACATTTCCCAACATCACAGCAGCCAGTAATAAATACCTTCCCCTTTACACTCATTTCACTTTACAAGCCAGATTCTTTGGCTCTGATGAGTTGACAAAAGGAAAGGGTGTGCTGTGCTTTTGAGGCTTTTAACTAACCTGGAATCATTTTGCTCTGTTCCCAAGTGGTTTGCTTTAACAGCTCATTTGGCTTTAACAGGAATATGAGTATAAAAAAAAATAAATAGACCTCTCTTCCTTTCCACACACATAGACACAGATAGTGATGTTAAGTATCAGTTCAATTGTAGTAAAAATTTAATGTAAAATTCAAGGTCATAGCAAAGGTTAAACAGTGTGATGTTTCCTGGATGTGTAAGACAGATTCAGCAAAACAGCATTTTTGTGGCTCTATTACTCATGTTGTACAATATGTCCTGCTGTGCTTGTTCCTTGCTGTTTCTTTTAAAACTCTAAAACACATTCTGCTGAACACAGCAGAGGATACAACAGCATTGCAAGATTTTTTGCTTTCTTTCCAAGCGAAAAGTTGCAGACATTGTTTATTTTTCTGTGGAACCTTCATGTGAAGAGCTGCACAGACAAACAGGCATAAGTTGTTTTTTTTTTTTTTTTGCAACTTTAAATTGATCAAACCCAATAGTCTTCTATTCATACTGTTTCAGAAACAGTATTTTAAGATGATTTCAAGTCAGCCTTTAATCTGGTGTAATATATTTGACAGATGCTATGCACATCCTTTTTTTTTTTTTTTTTTCCTTTTGGCTATTGAAAAAAAAAATTCCTTGTGGTTTGCAGTGCCGGTACTTTAGAACTGTGCAAATAATTTAGGTTTACTTCCCTTCCATATATTTCTATACAGAGAAGGGGAGGTGGGGAAATGAGTTTCAGCTGGAGCAAAATCTTAGGGTTTAATGTGACTTAAACCCAGATACGTTTTTAATCTTTCATACTATGACTTTCTTTTCCATTCTCTTCTGAAATTAGTTGCTGATTTTGACTCAAACTTATAAATGCCTTGCTCTCTGGCTTCAGGGGTATTTATTTTTCTGAAAAAAATTCTTCAGGATCTATTGCTATATGTAGTAGAATCAAGGATTAGTCAACCAGAATCATTTAAATACATCTGTGAAATAGATAGGGAAGACGCAAGTTCTGATGGAAAGAAATGCTCTTTCAGACACTTCAGAAAGTAAAAAAATAGACGAGCTTTTTTCTGTAAACTGACCACCAGTTTACAGAAGCAAGCAGGCAGAAAACAACGCAAATTTTGCAGTGCAAGTTCCTTTCCAAGGTAGTTGCCCTCCATTGAAGGGTAATTAAACGCACTAAAAGCAATGAAGGGCAGCACTATGGGTTCCTGCCAGCAGGAACCTCTCTTATTACATGAAAGGTAGGTTTTTCTGCACAGTCCCTTGATGGGAACCATTTTGCCTCTGTTTCTCTGCCTGTGAAATGGCACTGATACATTTTTAACAGTATGTGACCTTTTTTATGTTTTCTAAAGGGCTCCAAGGTCTTCCTGTGGAGCTATCCACTGCAGATAGCCTCATTGCCTTCTTGCGATAACCCCTTTTCCTCCTTTGTAGTCGTCATCCTTCCGTCCTCAGGTTCATGTCCTACCCAAAGCCTGCTCCTCGGAGAAGGCTTGATGTGTTTTTTACCATACAGGCAGAAAGGCGGTATGGTGCACATTAAGATCCTTATTACCTTCAATGACCCTGTCTTTATTTCCTTCTTTTGTATTTCTTTTGCCAAGGTAAAAGTTTGGTTCCAGAACAGACGAATGAAGTGGAAGCGGGTAAAAGGGGGCCAGCAAGGGGCAGCAGCCCGGGAGAAGGAACTGGTGAATGTGAAAAAGGGCACGCTGCTCCCCTCTGAGCTCTCTGGCATCAGTGCAGCTGGTCTCCAGCACACGGGGGACTCGCTAGTGAACGACGACAGCCATGACAGCGACCACAGCTCGGAGCATGCGCACTTATGATACACAGAGATTGTCCCAGCTCCGTTCTCAGGAAAGATGCTTTGCTGGCACGCCTTACACAGGCATCGTTTACGTATGCAAGTGACTTTAAAAGTGATGCTTTAAAATCACTTATGTAAGTGATTTTAAAAAGTTGTTATGGAAAATTCAGGCTTATTGTGTCTGCTTTTCTTGATTTTTAGATGGTTTACAGTAAGTGCCATGTCTTAAAGGTGCCTCAAGAGTGGAGAAGTGGAAGACAACCTTATTTTGAACATTCCAGATTTGTTTGTCATGTTTATGACAGCGGGCAGGTAGTTTTGCTTTAGCTTGCACTGAAAATTATGTTGCTCTCAACAGATGTTATATTCTGAAAACCACAGTGCCACAAAATCACTATCTAGTGGATAAGAAATGTATTTTAACTCTGTATATATTTACTTTACAGCATTTTCCTGTCTTCACTAATTTTAGCAATGCATTCATATTAGCTGATGGCAATAGTCACTCATGACAATAAACAGCTTTTTGTCTCTTTATTTTTGTTTTGTTTTTCCAAAGGCATACAATACATGCAGATACTTTTGTTCAAGCACAGAACAATACAATAGTGTCTGCTAGGACACGTCCTTGTATGACAGACAAAACAAACCTTATGTTGCATTTACTATCAACTGCTGCTAATAGGGTATTATTAAACTTACCTAGCTCCTCAATTCTTCTTATCTTGTAACTGCAAAAAAAAAAAAAAAAAGCCTTTTAGGATCATAAGGATAGTCCAGTAACCTGCCAAAAAGTGTCATGTTCCACTCAAGCTGGGTGGAAAATTCCCAAAGGATTATTCATTTCTACTTTGTCATAATTGAGTACATTGATAACAACATTTCTGCAAAGTGTCAGTATTTGCTTTATTTTCAGTTTAAAAAAACATCAGATAAGCTGAAAGTTATCAAATGCTTATGTTGGTAGAAATCAAAATTTGAAGGTAACTCAGTATTGTGTCCCACGTGTAAAATCTGGACAGATTTTCTGTTATAAGCTTTTATGTACATACAGGAAAATACCAAAACCCAAATTTTATGCAAAGCATTGATTGTACTTTGTAAACAAATGTTTAATAAATAATCCTTTTTAAATAATTCTGGTCTCTTGACTGTGATTCCATAGGATACTTAAAGTGATTTTTGTACAAGTCCTAAGCAGCTCTGCGATTTTCAGGTCTTTCAGAACTTTGTGTGTGGACAACACAAAGCTATGCTTTCAAATTTAGACTTTTAATCTTGGATAGACCTTATACCTTGATCCACTTAGGAAACTTTCTTTTAGCAGGAAAAATGCATCTAGCAGCTAATGTTGTTTTTGGCTGAAGATATCATGTGTCTGTTCAACCATTTTTTGAGATTTAGACCAAATATAAAGGGTTATTTTGTTGGACTTTCTTGAAATGGATGAAAAGGAATAAATATAAGGAGGGGATGCATACTTATATCATGCCTTTGTTCAACAAAGCTGTTCAGGAGAAAAAAAAACAAACTATCTCAAAAAAATTCAGAGGTGAATTGGGTAGTATGATAGAAGGAGCTGAGTGAAAGAAAGAGCAAGCAAGAAATACGTGTTCTAGTAAATGCTTGCGAGTATTCCCTGGAGCTCTGCTATGTGGAGCAGTGCGGCATCATAAAAGTTAAATGTAATCAAGAACTCTGTGTCTGTTTTCTAAATCCCTTCTGCTGTAGGTTTGATCTTTCTTCCACATTAATTGTTGTCATGATCATTTCAGTTTAAAATACCCAAGCAATGGATAATTCATTTCTTTAAAGACTTCAGAGCATTTTATTGATTCCAGCAGTTAAGAGGTTTTGCATTTGTCAGTTTTTTTTCAAATGTTTTTGTCATACAACATTTCTGGGAATGGGAGTAGGATAGAGAAGTAAGCCAGCTACTTGTGAATACTTGATATTTTTGATTTCATGATTGAATGGGAAAGTTTTTTGGGGGGATGGTGGTGACTATCAAAACAGGAAAAAAAAAACCCAAATGATTCAGACTAAAGTTTTTTATTCTTGGCTGGTTCTCTTCTCCCTCTTAAATGAAGCATAGCTAAATTTCAAAATGAATTTTTTTTAAAAAAAAAACATCTTGAATTTTCAAATAACACTTTTTAACAACAGGGATTTAATCGAATATAATGTGAGTTGTTTTGCTAGTAAAAACCAATATGTTGTTGCTGTCTTTCATTAAAAGTTTAAGATGGACTCTGAAAAGTGATCAGCCAAGTTTGAACTGACATTTTACAAAACAAATGGAAGTGTTTTATTTGCATTACCTGAAATGCAGCAGCAATAAGTTCCTAACCCAAGTTGTTCTGAGAGGTGTATTATTCTGTTAGTAACACCGTGATTTAACTGGGATACTTTCAGTGTGATGATGGCAATCTGTGAGCCACAGTAATCTCATTACCACAAAGAATTTTTTCCTGTTGAGAAAGATAGTATTTTTCCATTTTTCTAGCTTTAACTGATTCTGTTGAGAATTAAAGCACAGGACGAAGAGAGAAAAAAATGCAAATAGATTTACAGTGCTAGGAGATTTTTTTGTTTATATAATTGAATGAACATACAAAAAAAGGACCAAGTTATGTAACTTTATATAACATTAAAAAAAATAAGACTAACAAAATTGATTGTTTCCCATGCTTCATAAGCAGCTCAGACTTTGAACTTGGCCCCAAGGTGCTAACTGTATGTAGTAAACTCTCAGATTACTTAAAGACCTCTGGTGGCTTTAAGCAATCGTACTGTAAGTACATCATTGCTAAATGCAACCTAGTGCAGAGATCCCACACTGGGAGAAGTTGAAGCTATCAAGTCTAAGCACAGTGAGCTTCCTACCATGATCTTGAAGGAATTTGCTTACAAGCACAGTCCCAGAGAACTACAGTCATGTTTCTTCCAGATTTCAGCTAGCTCATATTCAAGGCACACAGAGCAGCAATGAAAGACCTGTGCTTTAATTCCATTTTTTGGGTTACTGGGTCTGGTCAGAACTCATCAATATAGATGATGTCTCATCTTGTTCTGAATACCCTAATCACTCAAAAACTATCTTTTGAATGGCTGCAGGAACAATCACCTGCTGTAACACATTATGACTTTGTATCCAAGTTTTAGCATAATTTTTTTGCTGAAAAGAGCTATGGATAAAGACTTCTGAACTGTAACCTGAAGTTTTATCTTCCTTGGCTTATATCTGTCTGCAGACTGACAGAGGGGTCTTCTACCAATCTAGACATATGGTATAGCTAAGGCTATACTATGTAACAGATGGACAAAATTAAGCCCTAATAATGTGATTTGTCTAAAGTTATGCAGGCATTTGGTGATAGAGTGAAATGTGAGGAAACCTAGTTTAGTTATTTATCTTTATAAGTTCCTTTCCTGTTATTGAATAGTGGCTAATGACTTTTCATGACTTATTGTCAGTGAATCCTGCTTCTCAAGGCTAATGATGTATTTTTTGAATTACATTAATTTTGATGTCATGTCTGTGCAGAGTCTACCTCTCTTTCGTGTTCTGTTGTTAGTGAACGGCTGAGCCAGGTAATGAAATGTGTATTTTTAGGAAACATACACAGAAAATAAAACTGACTGTAAAAAGGCAATGTTAATGGTTTAATTTTCAGCATGATGGATGATAAGAATTCTTTTTTTCTGCTGTCTCCAGGGTACAAGGCTATATATTATTTGCAGGGTTTCTTTCTCTTCCCTTATGACCATTGAATTTTTATTTTGTGTTTTTGTTTACTCTAGCTTTATTGTTTTCAGATTTATTTTGACAGTAGCGGTTCAAGAGGTGTGGTTAAAATAACACTGTTGCAAGCTGACTGAATTTTTTAAATCACAAATTTGAAGTAGTTTGGGAATTTAATTAAATGGTTATCTTTCTTTTTTTTTTTTTTTTTTTTTTTTGACACTTTTCTTTTCATCAGGTCCAAAATTAGTCAAAAAAGGAGTACAAGAAGGAGAGACTATGCCTACGTCTTTCCACCACAGGACAAGTTTCAAGGTAGTTTATGTGTCCTGCTTTCTTAAATGAAGGTTCTGACTGCTGCAATAATATTATTTGTAAAAATAAAGAAAGAAACACCATTAGGACATGCATTCTTAGAAGCTATGAGGAAACACAGTTATATAAGTTAGGGACAAAATGTCAGCTTGAGCCTTCAATTATAATTTCCTGGCTTCAGACAGTTTATGTCTCTTGGGTGAGCTTGTATTTAATAGAGTACATGCAGTATTTAAGGTTGGCTACAAGATTCAAGACATTTTAAAAAGTAATGTTTAACCAATTATACTCTGTAATTTAGTAATGTTTAGTAGTTATGTAACATGTGTGGATTGAAAGGGAGAATTCTGTATGCAACCTGATGTCTATGTTCATTAAAAAAAAGCAATGTGGCTGATAGCTAGAAGTAACTAGCATAGGGCTTCATTGATGATGCACATTATTACCTCAGATGAATAAGGACTTAGTAGAAAAAGCTTATTTGCTTTTATATATTTTTATTAATATTCATTTTAAGCCCATAGCCTTCTGACATAATTTTTAGCTGAAAGCTTGCAGTTTGTGAATCTGTTTCAACGTCATTTAAAGCCTCTGGCTGTTAGTCAGGGCCTCCATATGGCATAATGAGGTTATCACAGTCATCTGTACAAACTGCAAATGTATTAGAATTTTCTTAGCCATTTATTACTTCTGTACAATTCATGCACACAGATCTATTAGCCATTGCCCTTTTTCTGGCATCTGCACTGTCATGACTCCTGTTTGCAGAAATTTGGTGAAACTTTACTTTCATCCAGTTGAAAACTGCCACCTGGGCGGTAACTCGGTTAGCATCAGCAGAGAAAACCCCAAAAAGTTTTGTGAATGAAGAGCTTGTTGAGCACTACTTGTAGTAGGAAATGATTATGGTTCCCTTTTTTGTTGTACTTTTCTGTAGATAGACTCCAAAGATTTTATAA